TGATAGCTTCTTCCAGAGGGTGGAGGAGGGGTTCGATATCAGGGATAGTGCGCATCAGGTAGTTCCAGCGATGCTTGACTCCATAGGTGAATACCGCAAAAGCCGCATGTGGCTCTGTGTTAGCAATCTCAGACAGAGCTTGGATTTCCCTTACCCAATCATTCACCTTTCCCGTTACGTATTCGGTCTTGAAGTCCGTCGTGCCGATTACTGCACCAAGGTGTCTTTGGCCTTCCTTTGTTATTTTGACCTCGTTTCCACCGAACACCTCCATTGCCCGTTCATAATGTTCTGGCTTCACACTTGCTGGCGTTTGGGTGGTACCCTGTTTGTGGGCCTCGTGATGTTACCAGGTCCCACCACTTTTTGATGTCCTCCACTTTTCCTGCTCCTGTAAGGTCATCAGCATACGCCACTTGCTTGACCTAAGTTGTTTCAAATTTTATTGTGTGTTGGAGCATGGATAGGCCTATTGCATACATTGCCATTGCAACAGGGTACCCCTGCGTTGTTCCCTCGGTTGACTGTATGATGGTATCACCTCTTAGAGCCTTGTTTACTATATAGAGGTCTGATGGATTCCTGTAGGAATTTTCAACATACATTGCAAAGCTTGGACACTTGATCTTGATGTTGTGCAGTGCGGCCTTGCTGTTAAGTATGTTGAATGCGTTTCAAGCGTCCACCAGGAGAACGGCCTCACAATCACGCTGCTCAAATATCGTTCTCATGGTGTGAATGGCAGCTTCCCCTCCAGCCTGGTGGCCAGCACAAACTTGCAGGTTCCCTGCTGCTGCCCTGACATCATCCTTTACCACCTCCATTATGTATTTTCCGATGATCCGCCTCAGCACTTCCCCCACCCCTATAGGCCTACATCTTGGATTCTTATCCAGGGGAATGAGGCAGCAGGCCGTCAGAGCATGGAGGTGTTGGCAGCACGAGGATACCAGCTTTCTTGCAAGGACAGCAATGGCAGTGCAGAGATCACTTGCTACGGGGCCAAACTTGTTAGTGCTGAGGATGACTCTCCAACCTTTTGCATACAGACCTGAAGGGCCGGCACCTCCTCGAATCTTCAGTGCCTTTTTCCACACCATCCCTCCTGTTATTTTCTCGAAGAGGAGAGCATTTGGTGGGATATAGTCACCCTGGAACCTGATGCCTTCGTCTTCAATTGCAGGGGGATGTTTTTCTTTCAGTTGTTTTAATGTCTCTCTGTTTATTAGCAGAACCCCACCGGAGGATTCCTCTGTGAGAGATCTTACCGCCGAAGACACTTTTCCCACACGCATTTTGTTTCCAAACTTTCTTGCAACATCATCGGTGTTTTGCTTTCTGTCACCTGTAAATTTTAGTCTCTCCTGCAGTGTTCTTGCTTCACATAGGAGATCCTCAAGGGCCCCAGTCTGCCACATTTTCTTTGTGCTTAGTCTTTGTGTGTGTCCTCCGACAGAATAGATGTGGTATTATTGCCAGTATTTGAAGTGCTAAAGGGGCAAGGAAGCAGTCCTGAGTGTACTCAGTTATGAGGCGAATCATCTCCCGAATCATTTCTTTGGTGGCCGCACACTTGGGTGGTTCAAACAAGTTAGCGGGCGACCACCTGACAATTTCTGAGTAAGTTTCTTTAACCCATATATCTGCATTTTCCATCGACATGCCATTCCACTGTGGTGGCTGTCTCTCATTCACCTCGTGGACATCTGCTACTATTGGAGCAGCATTTATTAGTACTACAGGTTGAGTAGACTCACTGCTATCATTTAGGATATCATCGGGCGGTTGGGTCCCAGCGATATCCACTGTGGCCTCCTGTGTCGGCTCCCTGCCATATGGGTTGCGGCAATTGTTTCCCTTTCTGCAAACCACACATGGTCGGTTGTTTCTCGCGCAATCACAGCTAGTGCAATTTTGGTACTGGCTAGCACAGACGCAACAATGTCTGTTACTACTACTACTAAAACATTATTTTTTTAGGTTACCCAAACATGGCCTCCAGCCTCCCCTTAAAGCCACACTTTCGCCACCATTATATTACCTAACTACACTATCTTAATACAAAAACCACTACCCAAGCTGAGTTAGTTAAGCCACAGATCTATGCTGCATTCAGTGAATGTTGCCTCATAGTCCATGTCTGTGTATGTTGTTGGTTTAGGGGCCGATGACCTCATTCCCTTGAGGCATAGCAGAGTAGACCTAAGCACAAGAGAAGGATCAGGGACACCTTGACCAGGCCACGATGTAGCCTCTGGGCTGCTGCTTCTGTTCTGATAGCACCTCGGCCAGTCTGGCATAGAAACACTATGCATTTGGTCCCATCCTGCCAGATGTTGTGAACATCAGAGGAGTGAAGCTGCCTTGGTCTACGTTCTGGATTCTCTGGTCATACACTCTGTTCTCATCATTCTCACTCCACCTGTGTGCAGCCTCAAGAGACAAGTCATGGTGACATTCAGCCAGGAGATCAATTAGTATTTTAATGTCAAAGAAGGCTCACTGTCCCCTCGTCCAGAATCCTTGAGTACAGTACAGTACAGTACATAGTCCACACAGGCTTCGTTGGTAGTGTTGGCAGTCCTGCGGAGGAAGTGGGATAAGGGTCAGTGATGTCATGGCATATTTCCTTCGGCATATTCACAGTGATGTCCCTTACTTCACTGCACCTCAGGCATACGAAACCTCCCATCTTGCACCCTATGGTGTGATTGATGTGGTAGGGTGTTCCACACATACACACACACTGGCCTGACATGCCTTCCATTGGCCTACCATACCTTAGAGCAATGGCATCTGTGCTGTTTGCTAAGGCTGAAGCCCTTTGTTCTTATCTGTAGCATTGTAAACCAGTTTGAGGTGCTCTTCTGTGCTGTGGCCAGTTTTCTCTTCAAGTTCTCTGACAGTTGTTGGAGTTTTTTCCTTTGGATGTTTTGCCGTTGTTGTAATAGAACATCAAATTTTGCATAGTTCTTGTTGTCCACCTCACTTGTGGCACTTTGAGCTACTATGTGCTCAGTGAGGACTGCCATGAGCTTGACAGAGTTTTGGTGTTGGGTGGCAGCAAACTCCTCCGGGTTAAGTGATTCCCATTCCTCCCTGGAGTAAGTTGGTGGCTTTTCACTAATGTTGGAATAAAAACAATAACACTGTGCAGTTAAGGTCATAACAAACAACAGGCCACCTGCTTGAATGGGTCAGGAGCTGATAAATGGTGAAGTGATAAATTAAAATACTGTAACTGAATATTAGTAACAAAAGGACTCACTCAGGACTGTGTTGGACTCTTTATTATTAGTCCTTGATTGTTTTAATGTTTTCTCTAAAGTTTCTTGTTCCAGCTCACCTGTCTGTCTGGAGGACAGGTGAGCTGCAGCTGTCCAAATGGTGGTGGAGTTGTGGTAGAGGTTGTCATCTGCAATGTTTGGGTTAACCTTTCATATATTAGTGTTCAATACAGTACAGATAGTACAGTACATTAGAGATAGTACAGTACAGTACAGATAGTACAGTATATATAACTATGATACTTCAAGAGTAAGAAGACATATACAGTATAATGTTATGGAGGGACACAGTGAAGCCAGTAGGAAACATTCGTGGCCTCTAAACCTAACTCTTAATGGACAACAATATGATTAAGTAGAGATGAATGACCATACAAGTAGAAGCTCCCTATAAGACATTAGATCACTGCTGGAGTACAGGTCTAGGCTGGTAGTTAGCTCAGCCTCATTATACAGTTGTCAGCACAAACTACACCAAGGGGTCGGGTAATAAGGACCAGGTATTTTAAACTCCAGCAAATCCCGCCCTCGGCCAGAGTAAAAATCACTATCCAGTTATTCTCTGACCTCGAGGTGCAGAAAACTGAGGGGATAGATTACAGTACTGACAAACACAAGCAGAGTTAACTTGTAGTCCCTCTGGTAAGGCTGGTGGGGGGACTAACAAGACAGGTTGATAGCTCACACTTTGTTACCAATGATGTCTACATATACAGTCAGATCTGCTATAACGCGATAGTTGTGTTCTTGTAAAACATCGTGTTATAGAAATTCGCGTAATAGAAATAACAGGGCTTATGGAGAAAATAGGGTTAGGTGCAGATTACTACTCGAAATTGAAAATTTTTTAGTAGTTAGCCTAACACAAAGGATAGCACAGTCTAAATAAATGTTACATTCATATCTAATAGTGAAATCATACAGTAAATGTAACACTTTACCTTGAAAAAATATGAATATAACTTGATGGGGGAGAAGGGTGATTTTGAGGTTGATAACATCGAGCTTCTCTTCAAGTGTTATATCCTTTCTTTTACGATCATCACCGGGAATGCGATCACCAGAACGCTTCTTGAAGATATTCTTCTTTACCATATTCACAGTTAATACCACAAAATTGGAGAAATAGTAAGCAAAAATCGCGTTACAGCAAGCAAGCGTTCGCGTTATACAAATATCATTCCTCTATTCATAAATCGCGTTAAGAGCCAATTCGCGTTGTCAAAACACGCGTTATAGCAGAACTCACTGTATTTCACAACTGGAAGAGAAAAATTAGTTTGTGTGTCTAAGGTGAGGTTAGCAGGTGATGTTGCTCTCTGTGTTCAACTCGGTGGTCAGTGTCAGGTAATGGGTCAGTGTTGGGTAATGGGCTCAGTGTCGGGTAATGGGTCAGTGTCGGGTAATGGGTCAGTGTCGGGTGATGGGTCAGTGTCGGGTGATGGGTCAGTGTCGGGTGATGGGTCAGTGTCGGGTGATGGGTCAGTGTCGGGTAATGAGACAGTATTTAGTTTACATTTCCTACACTTGAGGTTTATCTTGTGACAGTAACTTACCAGTGTTAGTTTGGGTACACTTATATATGATGATGTATAATAACAATGGTTCATAACAGTGACCACTTTTACCATGAGTGTACAGTACACAGATTAAGTATTTTAATATTAACCCAAAACAATTCTTGAAACTTACATTTGGAGATAAAAAACAAACTCTTTTGAACTATTTATTAACATTAAAAAAATTTTGGAACTCACAAATGAGCAATTGAATATTCACTACTATAGACTTGCTCCAAAAGCGGTGTGGTGAATTACAAAATGAATGCTGCAGCTCCTGTTGTCTCGGTAGGATTGTTAGAGTCCATCGTCCGTTGTGTTATATTATCTCACACAAAATTGTAAGGATGCCTTTTGGACCGAGTGTTCATGCATTAATTGTTCAAATTACAGCGTACACACACACAGTTTGACAGTGATATCCTCATATTTTTATATTTTCTTTGCCCAGTTGAGACACACCTCACCTTTATTAAGTGTTAATGAGGGTAAATCTCCACAACGAGGTAACGTGACAGTCTTTGTCTTGTACAGGTCGTAGGTAAATCTGTCCTTTGTTTAAACATTTTACTATACCACAAAATACACTTACAGGGATAAGTTTTGAGCTGAGGAAACATGACATTACTCACAACAAAGTAACTGGGAGGTTTAAAAAGGTCTGTTTGGTCACCAGTGTTCACATCAAGCACAAAATCAACTGCCATTTTCTACCCACATTTGTACTACCAAAAGAAACCTTAACACAGGGTGGAAATTCAAGACCATTTCATCTAATTACTTGACATTTTTATTCTTGAATCTCTTTTTCCCGCTCAGACTTGGCTATCTCTGCCTCCAGCAACACACAGGCCTGTTCTATCTCGTAGTTCCTGGAGACGAGGGACACCCAGCTGGTCTCCAGGTGGCGTAGTTCCTCCCCAGCTTTAGTCTGCATACTTTTTCTTGACCAGTTAAGTTCTTGTATTTCTTTCCTGTTGAGGACAAACATAATTTAAATCATGATGTCAAAATGAGGTAAACTTGACAATATGGGACTGAAGTTATAGAAATATGTACACTAGAGCCAGACAAGAGATGGATAAACCGTGCTAACACAGCTTTACTCTCCTCATTACTGTTTCACTTCAACACAGCTGACAAACTACTATACTACCATTCTTCACTAGACACAGTATATTACCCTCTGCTATTATGTGCTTGAGACACTGAGACTTTTTATTTTTTTTTATTTTGATGAGACAAGAGTGAAGTCTTACTTATACTCCTGCAGCTGAGCCTGAGAGCGGGTTAACATATGCTGCAAAATGTTGTTGTGAGCCTTCCATGCTTCAGAACCAAACTCATTCATTAAGTCCAAGTTTGTGATCCTGAAACAATAGAAATAACTTTAATGATACAACTTTACCATAAATACAGATAATGTGCACTTTAATAATAATAAATAGTAATAATAATAGTAAAGTATTCCCTTAAAGCTTGCTGGGGTTAGGTAAAATGGACCCCGTGAGAAAGCATAATCCGCGAGTATTGCATGCCAGTCCCAGGAGTGTGCAAAATACATATATAAATAGCTATATGCACATGTATAACAACATTATGTATGTATAAAACAATATAATAAATATGAAATAACATATATAAATAAACATAAAATATCACTGTATGAACATTAGGTCCACACAGTGATAGTTAGTTGTGGTAGTGACAATATAATACCTCTGAAATGTGAGGTGATTTGGTGCACAGGATGTAAACAATCCCTGTACCGGACAGTTCCAAGTGAACATGCCCAGTACTGATGAGTATTTGTAATGTGTATACCGTAGGTAAACACAGTAAAAAAAAGTGCCGTACGGATTATGTGTGAAACAATATGACACTACAGACGGGGGATAGTGGAATATGCGTGGGCTTGTTATATAGTACAGTACTGTACTGTACCTTGTAAGATAATTAATGTAATGATGTTGATGATATTATGCCGATCCTGTGGGACGTAACTAATATGGCCCTACCATAGGTAGGTGGAAACCTTTGCCATACAGGCATGCATACCAACCCTCCCAGCACATCAGGTGATGTATGGATCATTATGGAAGTCAGTAGAAACCCCCCCCCCCTGCGCGATACTTTTTTTTTACTGTGTGTATCTATACGTAAAATTATATCCTTTTGTATTAAATTAGGTAAATTTTATTAATAATACCAACAAATTTTTGATAATAGGTCCATAAAGTGATAATGAGCTGTGGTAGTGAGAAACATGATAGCATTTAGCCAGTGACTTGGCTTTGCCAGTACAGTAGGCTGTTAAATCTGTACAAATTATTTTTCCCAAATATACCTTGTTAATTATAGGGTGCATTTTATGACCTGGGAAATATGGTGCTCTGTGCTGGCCTGTAGTGTTGACTCCTCGTGATCTCTGGCACACAGCCTCAAATTTATTTTATGTATTTTCCATGGCAGTCCGTGAGTTTCCGAGGGACGCAAGCTTTAAAACCGCGAGCTTTAAAGAAATAAATACTGTAGCAATAATAGTAATAATAATGATTATAATAATAATATACGTAGTCTCCAATTTACTAAGTGGGTTTTAACCTCTATGTATGGGGTCCCTTCCGACCTGAGCCAAATTGTCTCGCGTTAACAGAATAAAATCCTGTATTGGAAGTGGTGTGCCCTTACTGAATGGTTTAAAGACAATATATATATATATACAGCTGCTCCCCGACTTACAACGGGATAAGGGACTGACATCCAGGTCGTAAATCGAAATGGTCGTAAGTCGGAAATGCTTAAATAATACATAGAAAATCTAAAATGGGGGTCTCTTTTTCTTCTCAGCACCACAAAACACTCACTTTTAAGCTTGCCAGCCATTTTAAAGTGAATTACAGATGAAAATTTGTCTGTGTACTGACTTTGGGACTCGAAAATACGTAATTTGACCAAATTTTGGTACGACCGAGGCAGGTCGTAAGTGCGGGTGGACGTAAGTCGAATAGGCCGTAAGTCGGGGAGGAGCTGTATTAGTAAACATTGTCAACTGTACATTGTGTCAACCCAAAGCCCAGGGGTCATTTAAAGGAGAAAGATATTGTTATATATTTGATAAGTTTATCATGACAGTTGTTGCACAGTGAGTGATAATTTATGCTGGCTACTAACAGGACTGTACAGCTGTTGCCAGGGTGTGTAGACCATGTACTGTAGCTGATATGTTTTACTGCCACACATACCAGTTCTATAGTGTCTGTGGATAAATAATAAAGGTACCAACATTATTGACAATTATCGACCTACACGTGAAGATACAGTACCTGGTCGCTTGGTGCTCCAATTGTGCCATCGAGTTGTCAACACACTCACCCCAGGCGGCAACATCTGTCATTTTACCCGGGGGCGGCGGCGGCAGCTCGTAACGCTTCATGCTCAGGGTGTCCATAGGTTGTCGGGCGGCCACGCGCTCAAACTCACAACGCATCACTTCTGTCTGGGGATCAATACTGTTATTTATTTGCGAAGAACTGACCTGCATGGCACAATAATCAACTTGTTCTGTTTATAGATTTGTGACACAGTAAGGTGACTCAGTCAATTCATTTAATGTTATGCTATTTCTGCAGACAAACAGCGGCTCACAACATTCTCACTGTACCATATACTGCAACAAAAGCTACTACACACATACGTTAAAACACAAAATATTAATACCAAACATATAGTATATTTTAGACTCAACAACACACATGAACACAAACTGAACATGAAATAAGACGGGGCAGAGTGGAGAGACGTCTTCACCAACACGCTACACGGATTCACCTCAAAGGCATTCAGGTTGAGCTGGGGCAGGTGCTCCAGGTAGTTCTTGGTGGGGCGATAACGTTTCTTCTCATCCTCCACCATCGCGATAGCCTGTGAACATTGTACAGTTAGTATCAGTTCAGTGTCCGTACTTGTTTAACAGTGTATTTGGAAGATTACAACACACACATTTGTTTGTAATCATAGGCGTTTGTGGCTATAGTGAATGAAAGGCAATATAAATCTTTTAGTTCTGTTTAGGATTTCTTGTAGTTCCTGCCGACTCACACATCCAGGGCCGGTATGGGTGTTTAATCAACCAGTAAGTTAAGATCATTAGGTTTGGGACTGTAAAGATGAGTTGAATTGGGTTTTATTTTATTTATTTTTGGTGTAAGTTTAAACTGGTTTGGATAAGATACAATGTTTCCACTACAGTACAGTACAGTACAGTATGTCTAGTAATACCATCTCTATACTTAACAAATGGCTAGTAAGTCATGTAGAGTCAATGATCAAAGTCGCATTACACTTACCATATCTATGTTCTGAAACCCACAACAAAGATTTTTGGGGTAATTCTTTCCCAGCATTGATTAATTATTATTTAAACTCCTAATTACAGTTTATTATTTCCTTTTAATGATCTTTTTTTTTACTTTTTTAATATTGTGGACAGTATTACTTTTTTCTAAATCCTGTTACTTTATGTTTCTTTTCTAATTTTCACGATTTATCAGCTTACTAGCCATTCGGGCAGTTGGTCTATCTCGTGTTAGTACAGGAGGAAAACTCTAGGCCAGCAAACCTGTGATGTTTGGTAGTGAGAGACACTGGATAACACCCTTCTCACGTGTGTCCTGGCCGAGGCTCAAACCCTTGACATATTGGTGAGAGATACAGGTGTTACCGCTGTACCATCAACAATACAAAATAAAAAAGAACCAACCACTGTACTGTCAGACAACATGAACCACTACACAGTCAAAACTAACCTAACCTAACCTAACCTAACCTAACCTAACCAGCCTTGGCTGACCTAACAGTCTCAGAATACTTTTGACCTAAGTGAAATTAGGGAGGTTTGGTAGAGTTTGATTGGTTTGTTTTCCGTCACGTTCTCATTACGTTGGAACAAATTACTGATGATCGTCAATGACAGGTTTTTTTTTCTTACTTTCCTGTATTTCATAATCAATCTATTGTATAATATGGTTAAATATCCAATTTCTGAATTTCTGATTTGTACAAATGAGAAAGTAACAAACAGTTTTTATTGTATGATAAAAATTTCCAAATGCATTTTATTGAAACTCCCAAGAAAATAAAACAAGGTGGTGACCATATATCATCCCTGTAGTTGCCTGTGAGGAATATATTTCACTAGTGTAAGTTAAGTAATAAACCAAAACACCCAAACTTAAACATTACAAATAATTATGGTAATACTAGACGAGAGTGGTCTGGCCTTTACGGGAGGGTCACATTAACAGTTCTTGGTGTTTTTCTGTGCACAAAGGAGCAGCTCTTGACTCTATGTTAGACTACCATGATTATGTACCATTCCTACAGTCTAAACAGGCAGTTGATCTGACGAAGAAAAACCATCCTAAGTATTTTGTAGTCCACATGATAAACCAGCTGTAAACTTGTATTCTGATTTTACTGTATGTCTCTATTAATTAATCTATCTATCTGTTCACTACGTACCGCCTCTCTCACTCCTGGCTCGTCATAACCTGTGTCGATGTATGGCAGAGCATCAACTATCACGTCGTGGCTCATCTTAACGAGGCACAGCAGCAGGACACAGCACGAGGCACAGCAGCAGGACACAGGACGAGGCACAGCACGAGATACAGCAGCAGGACACAGCACGAGATACAGCAGCAGGACACAGCACGAGATACAGCAGCAGGACACAGCACGAGATACAGCAGCAGGACACAGCACGAGATACAGCAGCAGGACACAGCGGCTGTTGTTTGTTGTGGTCGGTTGTGAGTCTGTGAGCATCAGTCAAGGAGAGTATAGAGGAGGAAGTGTGTCTCTTGGGCCAGTTGTGCCTAAAAATGAACACGATTTTCTTTATCTCTTAAACTTATACTATGATAGAAAATGAATATTTAGCGGCATAGATTCTGGGGGAGGGTTTGTTATATCATCACCCCCCCTATGATTCATGTACCTCTGCTGTGGTCAACCTATTGGTGCTCAGTAACAAAGTTCAAAGGCACATTTCTACACTTCTCAAATCTTCCTCCTCTTTAATCACAACATATCTATGCCAGTACATTTGATTTACACAGACATACAGTATATTTATCATAGGTGTTCTCTTCTTGTAAGGATTAATTGGAGATAAACTTGTATTATGTTCTTTATAAGTATTTTATTCAATATTTATAAATGGTCGTACTGACTACAAAATATATTATTTGTATTTAAATGTGTTACATGTTCTGCAGTTATTAATTACATTAAATAGAATAGCTAAGCTACTTTTACTGTCTAACAATAAAATTTACTTTTTACGTATTTGTTATCAGTTCAGGCAGCAAATGTAAGAACAATGTACAGAGGACATGAGCATCACCAAATTAAAAAGGTATACTGTACTATACTGTACTGTACTGTACTGTACTGTACTGTACTGTACTATACTGTACTGTACTGTACTGTACTGTACTGTACTGTACTATACTATACTGTACTGTACTGTACTGTACTGTACATAAAAAATAAAAGCATGCTCATGAAAACCAGAAGCAACAACAATTAAAGCATAACATGAACACGTGCACAATAATTACTAATACATATTCTTTAACTTCCAAAATATATAAATAAAACATTGATACATAACTTGCTGAGGACAATAATTACTACATAATAACAAAAACAAAATCCAATCATAGAGAAAAGGATGATGTCACTAACTACAGTAGATGATGTTCTCAGCTCTAGGTTCATCAGGTGAGGACCGTCTCCCATATTGTGTACTCTTGACGATGAGCCTTGGTTCATGAGTTATACCTACATCTTCCCTGCTGCTTTTTAAAATATTCTTTAAACTTGTGTTACGCTCAGGACTTTATTGTTGTTTTTATTTGTCCCACACAACACACTGGTGAAGCCCATTCCTTCTCGCCCTGTTTGTGTCACCGCCAGTCACCATGCCCAGTCCAGCGGCCAAGTCGAAACAATCAGCCGACGCAACTTATCCCGCCATTTTATCAGTGCTATCTAGTGGCCAGATGTGCGCACTACATGAGCAGCATTAAGATACGATTCCTTCTTAATACTTTCCTTGGCCGTGACGTGTCATAAGTCTCGGCGGCGGATGGGTTAAAAAAGATAAGGTTTGCTCTATTATTTCCATTGATTTTCTTAGTTCTTTAATATCGGTCTGTGACTTCGTGTTAAAAAGCTATTATAACAGACATTAACAGATGTTTCAAACTTGGTAGTAAAGTTATTGTTTGTGTGAGTCAGTACCTTTGTTGACGTGCTAACACTCGTGACCTACAGTACACCACAGTGGCCTCAGTCTAATCATTAGGATTCAATTTTTTTGAGATTATGTCCCCAGGGATTGTTGATTCAGACCTAATGAATCGTTTAGATTAGGTTGGACTTGGTATTATACAGGTCTTGGGTCATTGAGGGGTCATCTCTTATGTAAGCCATGAACCAATGATTATATGCCACTTACACCATGACATTGCTTTCTAGTTTATTTTATTCTTTATTTGGTAATGTTGGAGGAGACGTTTAGCAGCAGAAATTACTTATGGAATTCGTTTATATATTTCACAGGTGTTTGGATGATAGTAAGTAATACAAACTATAAACCAACTTTTCCTTTAATTTAATGTTTTTCTCATCTTTAATCATAATCACCTGGGTAATTATTGACGACACCCTCCCCGACTTTTTTATTATTATTTTTTTTTTTTACTTATTTTTTATTTATTTATTTTATTTTATTATTTTTTTTTTTAGAAACTGGACACAAAAACATCTCACTTTCACTGTTTTGAAGTGGACACTGTCGTAGTTTGGACAAATGTGTGAAAATTTACTTAACTTATGACACACACATTAAAGTATAAAGTCTTGCATCGATTTTTGTACATAATGTTTTTTTTTGTTATTAGTGAACGACTCCGGTACATTGTTCAGTGTCATTAGTTTTACTGTTCATCTCACGACCACTGGGGAATTGAAACTCTTTTGAATGTTATATAAATGGTGATCTGTTTATGTCTTTCCTCAACATTGTCTTTAATAATAATAATAATAAGGATAATAATAAAGATAACGATAATGATAATAATGACCAAACATTTATTGAAGACAATTGCGCAATTCAGCCGTTTTCATTATCTGCAATGTATGTTTACAAGTAGTTCATAGTAGTTAATAATTGTTTATAATATGACATAGTGTATGAAGGGTGATGTTGTGTTATTTCAATATGTTAATAGGGATGTTAGGACGTACAGCCGGCAACGGTGTAGTGCACGACGCATGCCTGGTATGGCAGGGAGGCGTTAGTGGCGTTACTTGTATCAGTGTACGTCTGGCGCTGCTAGGAGGAGGGTGTACGCGCTCGCTGTGTCGATCATAGCCACTGAGAAAATATTCGTCCCCTCCATGTGTTGTGGCCGTCCAGTATAGTTAAGTCAATGAAAACATGGCGGACAAGACACCTAGAGACTCACCCAGGATGTAAAGTGAAGGAGAGAAGAACGCCAAGTGGTGGAGGGAAAAGTGTTTGAGTGAACGCGAGGTAAGAGAGACGCCTCCTTGCATCTACCTTCCATTTATTTTACATATTATTTTTATTCTCTTTTATAATCATGTATTTAACTATTAACAAAATCTCTAGAGCAAGTATTTATTTTTAGGATGTTATTGTGGTATAATACTGACAGAGACGGACATGTTGTTTACCAGACACGAAGTATAATTTATATTTTACGAGATAATTCAGTAAACAAACAAATAATTATACTAACCACAATCTGGAAAATATTAACTGATAGACAATATTATGGGGAATTAAGCAGAGTTATAGGTGGAGTGTTATGGATTATAGACGTTAATGTTAGATGAAGGGAGCCTGTAATTACACGCGTTAACCTGAAAGGAATTAATTATTAGGTAAGTTTGTACTGTCATCTTGTGGTTGCTAAATTATAGTAGTAATAATATTAACACTGATACATATATTAATAATGATAATACTGGACTCATAATATTAACATAGGTAATTACAATAATGAAATTAATTATTATAGAACGGAGGAGGAAGGAGACGTTTTATGACTCTGTCGGTGATTGGCTGAGGTGCAAGATGACATAGTGGCAGGCGAGGGTAATAATTGGCTAATAACGGGTGACGTGTGGTTACGAGGCTCATGATTGGTGGAAGTGTGTGAGTAATAATAATAATAATAATAATAATTAACGGTTATTGAAAGAGCTTGGCAGCCAGAAGGCTGAAAATATACAGTTACATATTTGAGGAATGGGTTTCGAATTACAAATAATATACAAGTAACATAAGTGACACAAATAAGATATATAATAACTAGATGGGGAAAAGCTCAAACTACAGTTCATTTCAACATAGTGACAGTGTAGGGAGCAGTGTTTACTGGGAGTGAGTACACTGGTTTATTACAAGTTATTGATAATTTTTACAATGGTTGGGACTGGGCTGTTCTTATAGCGATCAGTTCGTGCACGTATGGGCTGGATGCGGTTGTGGTGTCGAACAGCAATTCTCGGACTAGGGATCTCAGGTGGTAGTAGGAGCCGGTGTCGGGGATGGTGTAGAAGCTTCTTACCAAATTTGCAGATGAGGTCGTGGTGATGGTCAGTGAGAGTCGAAAGGGTCAGTGTGTTGAGCGCTTCTTGATATGTGGAGTAGGAAGGGAGAGAATAATCTTGCATGCCCTCTTTTGCACTTTTTCTAGGTGTTTACGTTGTGTGGCATTTAGGGAGGAAGACCAGGTGGGGGAGGCATAGGTGAGCTTGGGAAGTATGAATGTTGTGTATACACTGAGGAGCTCGTGTGCAGGAACTCCGAGGGACTTGAGTCGGCGGAGGAGGTGGAGACGGAAACTGGAGGATTTGACAACTTCACTGACGTGTGGTTTCCAATTTAGTTTGTTGTCTATGGTGACGCCGAGGAGCTTCGTGGAATCTACAACCTGGAGTGTGTTCGGACCTAGGGTAATGGAAGGAGGTGGGACAATGTCGGAGGAGAGGTTGATGTGCATAACCATGGTCTTGGTATGGTTGATGGTGACATGGTTGTTGGTGGCCCAGTTTTGGAGACTGTTCAATAAATCCTGGAGGGCGGTATAGTTGGGAGCAGAATTGTTGACGCTGATCCCAATGGTGGAGTCGTCGACATATTTCCAGCGAGCAGGGTTTTCTCTTAGGGCATCATTGATGAGCATAAGGAAGCAGAGTGGTCCCATCTTGGTGCCTTGGGGACGCCACAGGTGAGTGACTGAAAGGTGGAGACAGCCCTCGGAAGCGTCAACAGCGGCTTTGTGTGTGTGTGGTTGTGTTGTGTGTACACTCTAATAAATCGTTAATATTACAAGGTAAACACACACTACAATAAACCCATATACACCTAAAATAACACACACACACACACACACCAGTAAAACACACACACACACACACAACAGTAAAAACACACACAACAGTAAAACACACACACACAACAGTAAAACACACACACAACAGTAAAACACACATACACACACACACAAACAACAATTAAAACACACACACACAACAGTAAAACACACATACACACACACACAAACAACAGTAAAACACACACACAAACAACAGTAAAACACACACACACAACAAGTAAACACACACACACACAACAGTAAAAACACACACACACAACAGTAAAACACACACACACAACAGTAAAACACACACACACACACACACACACACAACAGTAAAACACACACACACACAAAACAGTAAAACACACACACACAC